CCCTAGGGGGTGATTTCTCACTTCCTCTCTCTCTCTGTCTCTCTCTGGTAAATATAAGTGCCCTATGACAAAACAAAACAAAACAAAAGGCTTAATAAACAAATACCATGATACTTTACAAATAGCCTTTTGAAAATTCACTAATTTTGACCACTACTTTCTCTTGTCTGGTCCTGATTCATACAAGAGTCTTCTTTCCTACCTGACCACAGGCGTGTCTTGGCATTGAAAAGGGTCCCAGGATGCATTAATGCATGAAAGAGAGCCTGTAATTTTGGCACATTAAAGAACAGGAGTTAGAAACACCCAACCTTCATCTGGCGAGTGCATGTGCCCTATAGCAAAAGTCTTTCCAAAAACAAAAAAGAAAAAAAGAAAAGAAAAAGAAAGACCCAGCCTTCAGCTGCTGAGTGCATCCTTCCTTCCCACATTGTAGTTCTTAGTCAAGGAGAAAGTGTTATTTAAAATTCTGGGTGTGCAGTCTTATTTTTTCTCTACATGGCAAGTCAGAAACAATAATTAATATTCCTGGTTCTCCTTCTATGTCTTACAGAATATGCCCCTACCTTAGAGGTTTCAAGGAATAAGTTCAGGCTGGAGGATTTAGACCTAACACTTTTTTTTAAGCTTTAGCCAGGGATAAGTGAGGTGGGGACTAGAGAAAGGGCTGGAAAAACACAGAAACTAGCAAATAAACAAAAATACCATGTGGAAACCGAGGAATCAGAACATTTGACCTATCACACGGTATATTCTTGGTTCCAAGCCTTGTGCTCTCAGTATTTTAAAATACTGTCATCAGGTGTCTGGCATATTCCCAAGGAGGACCTTGAAGAGTGGGCTTCTGAACTGAACTACTGATAGTTCTAAGGTATTTCTACATTGACTTTGGAAAGACTAAATGGCATTCTATAAGAGCTTTTTTTTCTATTTTTATTTATTTTCCACATTTTATTGAGACTTTTATTATTTTTTTCCTTATGAAATTGCAATTATTATTATTTTGGGGAGAGATTTTTTTTTTCCTATAGGGAGCATGCACTCACCAGAAAGACACAGAAAGACAGAAAGCAAGAAATCAGCCCCTCCCCCAAGGGGGATGATCACGGTACAATCCCTTCAGTCTCCTCTCAGGATCTTGGGCACGCATGCACACATGCCCAGCGTGAGTTTTAAGCCACTGGGTCCGGGACTTGAACCACAGTCAACTACATGGAAGTCCAGCGACATAGCCATTACACTAACTGCTAGTCCCTGAAATTGCAATTATTGAGTCGACCATGAATACTGCACTTTACTTCGAAGATTAAGGACCTGAATACTTCAGGACATAGGATACCAGAAAAAGCTTTCAGAGACTGAATTAGCATAGTGTAAATATCCAGCCAACAGAGCAGGTAATTCTCATTACTGATCGAATGAGTTCCTAAGTATTAGTTACTCCACATGTTGATTCTTTGTAGAAATAACTTACAAGCAGCTGAATCATTTTGGATCATATTTTCCATTACCTTTCTTTGTGTGCTTCGGGCCTTTGTAAACCCTGAGTAACACAAATCCAATCTGCTGGTTTCCTGTTGGCAAGGATGACTACATTTTTTTGTTTGTTTGTTTGTTTTTGCTTGAATCAAGCAATGATTAAGAAACCCTAGAGGTGATAAATCTCATTATCATACATGTGGTGCTATCTGGTCATTCTTAACTTAACTCAGTGTTTATGTCTTTCTAATTAGACTGTTATCCTTCCCAGAGGAAGATAAAGGACCTCTTGAACATCACCATTTTCAAAACAAGCACAGGGCAGTGAAAATGTCATCACTCTGAGATAATCCTATAGGGCCAGGGGTATTTCCTGTGACGTTTTGAGTCACTCTGACTCTCCCCTCTTATCAGTAGTTTTTTGAAAAGAAGTCAGTGCTAGGCATGAGCAGTTGAAAACTCAGAATACCAAGCCAGAGCTTCCCTGTGCTTGTCACATCGCTTTAGCCTGCAGGATGAGCTTCCATCACTGACGTACGTTTTCACTTTTTTTTTTTAATCTGGAAAATCCCCCGCCTCCTCCATTCCTTCATAAAACTTTCTGCCTGAATGACTTCTACTCTGAGGGCCATACACATATCTTGTTTCTCACTACAAACTTCTGAATGCTGTCTTTTAAATTATTTTATAAGCATCACATTTTGGGAAAAAAAAACAAAAACAAACAAAAGAAAATCATGAGTAGAAAAGATTTCCCAGTGCCATTGCCTTTATCATCACTTACCGCACCTTATTCCAGTTTGCTTTATAATGAAAGAACTATAATAAGGAGTGTTTTGTTGGCAACTAAGTATTATGTAGATTTTCTTCTTTATTGCATTAAATATTTAATGAATATGTAGGTAAAACCAGCAGCATGCCTTGTTGCAGTAATCCAGCTTTAATAAAAATCCAAGTACTATTTGTTAATTATCATTGCAAACAATATTTCAAAATAGTCCTTGGGTCAGGGAATCTTCAAGAAACAATTACTTCTACTGATTTCAATTAAAGACATCCTTTATTCCCTTATTACAATATTATATTCTAAACACAGCCCCTTTACAACTCTTCTTTCCTTCTCATCCCCTTCCCCCATTCCCAGCTCCTTCAGTAGCAAGCAATTAAAAGCCTCCTTTATTTACGTGAGTGTTCCTTGGGGGTAGGGGGTGTGCCTAGGTTGTTTTTCGGGACCTGGCTCTAAAAGGGTTTTTTCTAAAGGAGGCAAGGATTTTCCATTGCCTAAAAAGAGGCCATCAAGTTTTAACATTGCGAAGCACGACTCCTAATCGCATCCTTCCCGGAAAAGTACAAACAGTTCCTCAGACGAGGTCCCCCACCTCCCACGCGCTCCCTGGCTCGCCCTCCCCGCGGAGAGCCCCGCGACAGCCTCCCCAACACCTGTGAATCATCCGAGAGAGGCTGCCA